GGAGGTGGCTGCGCGGAATTGGAGCAGCCTGACTGTCACCTTCAGACAATCTATACTGCGAGCAGATTCCTTCGATAATGTTGAATCCCCTCCATTTCAAAATACTACTGCAAGAGAACGTTTTGCCTAGAACCACTGCAAGCTACAAAGCTAACTTCCAAAAATGAGAGGGGAACAACATCGGCGCAAAAAATTCATAAGTTTTACAAGGATGCTAATTGGTGCGATGAACCTTCAATGAGCGCTTAATGTGATCATATTATCTATGTGTAACACAAATAAAGTACAGAAATCAGAGGTTGGGCTCCGATAGCGAAAAGTAGTTGAATAGTTGAGCAGATTATGAAGTATTCACATGGTGCTCCTGAATTTTCACCCTGTAGACATAGACTGTTTCCGTTTCAGGAAAAACTGGGCTATGGTGCTTGTCGCTCAGTGAATGAATTTCAAAAATTGAATCGCATAGGAGAAGGCACTTATGGAATAGTTTATCGAGCTAAAGATACAAAAAGTGGGCAAATTGTGAGTTTTAATAATAGACTGCAATCTTAAACTTTTACAGTAATCCTTCCAGGTAGCCTTGAAAAAAGTCCGTGTTGACAATAAAATGAGCGCTCAAGTTGGGATCTCAGATTCAGCTTTGCGAGAGATCGTGCTGCTCAAACGGCTAAGGCACGAAAATATCGTCGAACTCAAGGAAGTTGCAGTGTCAAGAGATCCTCAGGGGATGTTCTTGGTGATGGAGTATTGTGAGCAGGTTAGTTCAAATCGTAGTAAGGTTTATTCGAAATGAGTTGATTTCCCCATTCGAGGATTTGGCAAAACTCTTGGACGAAATGGTGCATCCATTCACGGAACCGCAAGTCAAGTGCCTTATGCAGCAATTGTTTCGAGCTTTGAATTATATGCATACACATTATGTGCTCCATAGGGATTTGAAGGTATTTTCACTGAATTTTTTTAAAATTTTACTTCTCTTTTTCTCTCTTAGGTATCCAATCTGCTTCTCACCAGTCATGGTATCCTGAAAGTTGCTGATTTTGGATTGGCTCGCGTTTTTGGTGAACCTGATATGAGCATGACACCGAGAGTAATTACGCTATGGTAATTTTTTGTCAATTCCTGCTTTGGATACAGAAGTTTTTGAGAGTTCACCTTTGCAGGTATCGCTGCCCAGAGTTACTGTTTGGTAGCAAAACACAAACGACGGGTATAGATCAATGGGCAGCCGGGTGTATTCTTGGAGAACTGCTGCTGCATCGACCATTACTGCCAGGAAAAAGCGATATGGAACAGGTTTGTGTATCAAAGATCAGAGACAATTTTTTTGTTTTTTATTTTTTTAGAGAAATTGATGACCAAGGTTTTTGTCTTTTTTCGCTATTTTGCTCTTTTTTTAAGAGTAGTAGTTGAACGCACGGACTGGCCGTAGATTGCGGAGCACGTGCGCGCGATTAAGCGCTTGTACCACCGTGCAAATCGGCGTTGCCTCCGCAACCTACGGCCACTTCCTGCGCTCGACGACTCGACAATAATTCATGCCCTTTGACATTTGAATAATGTCGTAGAAATGGTTGGTGGAGGGGGGGGGGCAGAGAGAATCTTTTTTAAATTTTTATGGTTCTTTATCTTCTGCTTT